TGCTGCTGCTGCTGCTGCAGTTGTTGTTGCTGCTGGATTTGTTGGTGTTTTCCGTCTTTCTGCTGCTGCATCGTTCTCCTTCTTGCTGCTGCTCTGGCCTCCTCCCTCTTTGCTCCCGCAGACGCGCTGCAGCTGCAGCCGCTGCAGCAGCTGAAGCAGCAGCAGCACATACCGCTGCTGCTGCAGCAGCAGCAGCTGCAGCAGCAGCAGCTGCAGCAGCAGCAGCAGCAGCGAGCTCCTGCTGCCTCGCTGCCGCTTGCCTGGAGCTCTGCTTCATCTCTGGGGCTTCGCCATGCAGCAGCAAGCAGCAAACGTGGGCGCTCAGCAGCAGCAGCAGCAGCAACACCAGCAGCAGCAGCACCAGCAGCAGCAGCAGCAGCAGCAGCAAAGGGAACTCATAGCCGGTTGAATGCAGCAGCAAGAAGAACAGCAATAGCAGCAGCAGCAGAGGGAGCAGCAGCAGAAGGAGAAGTTGCTGCACCGATGACTGCAGCAGCAGCAGCAGATGCAACAGCAGCAGCAGCAGCAGCAGCAGCAGCAGAAGCAGACACAACAATATCTTCTTTATTTCCTTTTGGATTTCCCCCTTCTTTATCTGCTGCTGCAGCAGCAAACCCAACAGCAGCAGCAGCATACGATGAAGCAAAAAAAATTGTAGAGAGAGAGATGTGGCGCCTCTATCACCAGCAGCAGCACCAGCAGCAGCAGCAGCAGCAGCAGCAGCAGCAGGACCAGGAGCAGGAGCAGGAGCAGCAGCAGCACCAGGAGCAGGAGCAGCAGGAGCAGCAGGAGGAAGAGCAGCAGGAGCAAGAGGAGGAGGAGGAGGAGGAGGAGCAGCAGCAGCAGCAGCAGCAGCAGCAGCAGCTATCCCCGCAGCAAGTGCAGCAGCTCGTTGGCTTCTCTTTTGATTATTGCGAAGCAGCAAAACGATCTGCTGCAGCAACAGCAACAGAATGTATCGTTAAACTCGTGTAGGTTTATTTATTTATTTATTTATTTATTTGTTATTTATTTATTTATTTATTTATTTATTTATTTATTTATTTATTTATTTATTTGTTTCTTTGTTTGTTTTGTTTATTTGGTTGTTTATTTATGCATTTATTTTGTTTGCTTGTTTGTTTTGTTTGTTTCGTTTTGTTTTGTTCTTTTTTTTTCTTTTTTTGTTTTTTTTTGTTTCTTTCTTTCCGTCTCTCTTCTTTGTTTGTTTTTTATTTTTATTTTTTTTGTGTCTTCTTTCTCTTTTTATTTTCTTTTTTTCTTTTTTTGTTATTTTGTTTTTCTTTTTTTTTCTTTTTGTTTTTTCTGTCTCCTTTTCTGTCTCCTTATATCGGTCTGTGTATTTGTCCTTTATATTTATTTTCGTTTTAATTTTATTTATTTATTTTATTTATTTTATTTATTTATTTCAATTACTTTATTTTTGTTTATTTTATTTTTTATTTTTTCTTTCCGTTGATGTACTCAACTGTTTCTGTTTCTGCTCCTCCTGCTGCTGCTGCTGCTGCTGCTGTTGCTGCTGCTGCTGCTGTTGCTGTTGCTGCTGCTGCTGCTGCTGCAGGAGTGTGCTGCAGCAGTGCATGCACTGCTCTTCTTATAAATTTTCTGCATACAGCCCGGCGCAGAAGAGACCACTGGACTTCGCCAAGTGGTCCATTGGTGTTTGGGGGCCTCTTATAGATTATGAAAACAGCAATATACAGGTATTTTTTTATTTTTTTATTTTTTTTTATTTTTTTTTATTTTTGTTTTTTTATTTATTTTTATTTGTTTTTGTTTTTATTAATAATTATTATTTTTGTAATTTTTTTTTAGTTTTTTTTTTTTTTTGTTTTTTTTGTTTTTGTTGTTATTGTAGCTGGTGATGA